GGCGGCAGCCTGATGGCTCCTGTGGGGTGTCGGGGGAGAAGTGCTTGAGCCAGAGTGGAGCCTGTACCTAACTGACGTGGGGCTCAGAGTGGGGCTCTGAATCATTTAGGCTCATTTCTCCCGAGTACATTTCAATTTGCAAGGCAAGGAGGAGAGACATAAGCAAAACTCACTGCCTGTATTTCCCAAGGGGTGCTGTGACTGCCAGCACTGGTGTCACGATCTGCGTGGCCTCTGCAGCTCTTCTCCAAAGAGATAGGACAGCTTGAGGTGTGCCTGCACGCCCTGTGGTCCCCGTGCAGAACCAAGGTGACTGACACCTTCTCCTGGCCTGACAGTGGTGGATGTTTGGCTTGAAAATTGCTAGAGATGCCCTGAAAACAAAACAAATTGTCCAGAGAGCACATGGGAGGTGTTGAGGGGCTGCTTGGGCACGCGAGCTGATGGCAGCAGCTCCGTGGGGCCGCGATCGCGGGCAGGAGACGTGGCTTTCAGGTGCAGGATGGCTTCACAGATGGAATAAAGAGAGTTTTGGCTTGAAAGAAGCTGTCTTGCTTTCAGGGTCTGCTTGCCTGCTTTAACGTTTGAGGGCATTTTGCCAGGCTGCTTTGTGGTGTGGGGGATTCAGATTCACGCTTCTGTGATGCTTGTCTCCTCTCCGTCTTTTTTTGCAGTCCGTCTGGCTGGCTGATAGCACTTCGGGCTGCTGTGCAGTCACCCACCCGTGACCTGCTGGGCTCTTTCATTGTGATTCATCCTTTGGGGCTGGGATTTTGGGTCTTTCGAGGTGTGGAGGGCACTGGAGAGTGGACATATAGGGAAAGGATGACGTCCTTCCAGCCAGCAAGTGAGGGATGGATGTCCTCTCCTCAGGAAGGCATTTAAGCACATTTTGTTTCTAGGAGTTCAGTGGGACCTTATCAAGAGGTTAATCACTCTGTGGAATTAGGGATGCTTTCCTGAATTGCTAGTGAATGGAAGGGATAGTAAGTCAAGCCTGCTTAAAAACCTTTGTCTTTAGTTTTAGCGCTTGTCAAACTCCAATGACTTGTTAGCACTTTGAAGATAGGACATATTGGTTAAATATTCAGCAGTCCATTCATTAAGGTTTGAGTATGTATAAACAGGACTATAAACATCGTTTGAAACACCCAATAGATCTTTAGCAAACTCGGCAGAGACCAGGCCTGGTGTTCCCCGTGCGTCCCAGTGCAAAACTGAGCAGAAAAGCCCCGTGCTTTCCTGCCTCCTCACTTTGGTCTTTTTCTGCTCTTCAAAAGGAAAGCAATCCTAAAGGTTTTCCACATGCATTGCGAAGAAGCAAAAAAGAAAGACAAGCCTAACTTAAGAAAATTAAATTCTTTGCCAGTAAACTATTTGTTTGTTAATTGGTTACTTTTAGCCTTCTGGAGGCAGGCATTTCCAGGCTTGCTTCTTGCAGTGGAGGATGGGGAAATAGTCACTTGTCTGAATGTGTGCAGTTAATGCCACTGAATTTCATTTTCTCAGCAACCCTGCCTTTGCCCATTCTTTCCCATCTGCCATGCCTCAATGGGGCTTATCCTTCTGATTGCTGCAAAAAAATGAACAATTTTGCTGTTGGAAAGTTATGCAGTCCTGAATCTGTGCTACTGCTTGTAACATTGCACTTCATCTGATTTAGTCCTGGCCTTGGCAAAATGGCTACAGGTGTTTCTTGCTGCCAAGGGTTTGGCTTTTTCTCTCCAAAATGTTCCTCTTAAGGCTGAAATAGCCTCAGAGCTGCTCTTTCCCTTTAAATGTAAAAATAGGAAGAACCCCTGATCCCCTTTCCACAAGCAATTGAGTTTGTTGTCTCAGCACTTTAAATTAAAGCTCACGCCTCAATTATTTCCCTTTCCTTTTAACCGAAGCCCTGTGTGTCAAGGAGCAGCTGTGTCACCTCTGTGGCTGCCCTTTAGCTCCTTCCTTGCCGATCCCCCTGGTGTGGGCAGCCCACCTTGCCTACCTGTTTCGGCTGCGACTCAGGAGGTTGCTTCCCTCCAGTCAGTCTTGGATGGGGATGTTCATCGAGGGGTGGCTTATTCCTGTGAAAAGGTGATGTGGGTGCAGAGCAAGGCAGACTGGAGGGATGGGCACGCAAGTGGTACCCAACAGAGATGCTGAGAAGAGTGTAGATGCCAGGAAGAAGTCAGGCAAGACCTGGTAGATTTACGTTTTCTGGGTATTTTTTTATTGCCGAAGAGCCTGAGTGTTGCTCTGAGATATTCCCAGGATCTCGGGTTCTCACTTACACCCTGCCGAATTTTGGGCGGAAGGAATCCAAGGCGAAGAAGCCTGTGTGTGTGATGGGGGAGGAAAGGGAAAGATTTATGTGAAAAGAGCAAAAGGAGATCCAGAATCAGAGGCCAAACGTTACTGTCAAGTTCTGCTGTTGTGCGGATGGCGGTGTTTTACTAGGCTTAGGGTGTATTTATAGAGGAACATAAATCATACACACATGCCCTGTTCTGAGCACCGCACACCTCCAGTATATGTATCTCTAATTAACCAGCCATGGAGAGGGAAACAGGATTGGAGCCCACAACCCCAGCACTGTTTGCCAGCAAAGCCGTGCTCCCCGTCCTAGCAGTGCCTACATTTATCTTTCCTGCAGCAGTGTTTAAAGTGAAAAGGGAGTATCAGGAGAGTTTGATAGGATCCAATTAAATTCCAGCAGATAAAATAATGATGAATTGCAGTTGAGCCCTGGCGAGACGCGATGTACATTACTGCCATCCCCGTAGTGCGGGGAAGGAGTTGAGGTCATCAACTACAGAAAAATAGGACACAGCTGCAGCCCGAGCGCTCCTCCAGAAATGTAGCCCAGGGGGATGGTGCATGTGGGAGGAAGGGGGGTTGCAGGGGAAGTTCGGATGCGTGGGTTTGTTGGCAGAGGAGCAGCCCCTCCGCTGCCTTCCTTGGGGCTGGGTTGTGCCTGGAGCAGGGTGGGTGCTCCTTGGCAAGAGGAGTGATGGCCATGGGGCAACTGGGCTGGTAAGGGCTACTGTCTTGGCTAGTTGGTACAGTGCTTGTTAGGAGCATCTCGAAGTGCATCTTAGTGCGATTTGTCCCCAGATTTGGGGTGTACCATCCCTCACTGCAGCTTGTCCCCTGGGAGCGTGGCTCTCTGGAGGCACCTTCTCAGAGTGCTGAAGCCCTCATCCCAAGGAGAGCTGGGCGGCTTTTGCTGCTTGTCACTGCTAACTGGTGGGTGAGCAGTGGGCTTGCAAGAACCAGCTGTGAGACCTTAAGGGGAGGTGGCACCCACAGCCCTCCCAGCGTGCTGAGCTGATGGGCATCCCCCACATGAGGACTGGGTGGTTGTAAGAATCAGAGACATGACAAGCACATGAGGTTGTTAATTGTTACTTGGGAAGATGCCCGAGATAAGTTTTGGGTGAAGAGGCTTGAGAAAGGCTTAGTGAGGAGTCCTCTTTGAACAACATCCCTGCAGAGGGAGACCTTGCTGAGAACAGCCACATTCAGGTTGGTGGGGCTAGTGTGTCCTCTGTCAGACCTTCCACACTTGCCTTGTAGCCTCTTCCAGAGAGGGACGGAAAGGCTGGCCAAGCTCAGCAAGGAGCCAAGCAGCTCACATCTCTGTGGCTGACTCACTCAGTGACATCTTTTTTCCCCATCTCCTTCTGTGGTCTATGCTGTGTGAGAATGCTTCTCTTTTGGGTGCTGTAGCTTTGCTCTTGGGGCTGTGCCTGTCATTTTTTTTTTTGCTCCCAAAGCAAATGTCCCTTTCCCAAAAACTCAGCCCTGCAGCAGCTGCTGTGCCAAATCGTCCTTTGGTACAGCCAGGGGTCCCAGTTGCCTTCGTAGAGTGAAAGGTGGTCTGATGGCAGGACTGCCTGGGGAGTTGCATCCCCCTGCTCCCCTCCTGCAGCTCATTCCAGATGGCTGCCGGGCACATGACTGATTAACTGAGAAGTTAATAACAGTTAAGGGTTTCATGGATGCTTCGTGCTGTGTTACCTAGAAGCGGGGAGGAGCCAGTGTGATTCGACCTGCTGGCTGGCTGGGGGCTATTGTTTGCATCCCATGGGATGGACAGATTGGCAGGCACCTTCTGCTTGATCCCCACTACTGTGAGGTCTTCGGAGCTGGAAAGTGGCCGCTGCTTTGCTCAGCAGATGCGATCCAGCCGTGTCTGTGCGTGGAGAGGGCACGTTCCTGCCCATGCTACAGCGTGAGCAGCTGTGAGGAGGCCTTTGGAAAATATTCTTCAAAATAAGAGGTGCTCTGGAAATAAGAGAGGAATCTGATGGATCTTGATGTCCTGCCCATACACAGCCAAGCTGCAACTCCAGCTCCAGCATCCTATGGGCACCAGTAATGGCATCCAAGCCGCAGCCCTGCTGCCTATCTCTGCAGGGCAGGTGAGAGGCTGCTGACAGACACACAGGTGCCGAGGACATGTTTTGCATTGATATCTGTCTTCCCTTGGTGATCCCACGCTGCGGATGCCAGCTGGGATGACAACTCCTGCTCCTGCCTGCCGCTTCCCTCTGTGCAGTCCTGTGCTCCTGAATGCTCCCCACGGTGCGCTCCAGCTCCACACTAATTCAACGTCCTCAGCATGGTGTCCTTTCCCAGAGGGACACCATCTCTTGTGCAACCACCCTGTTGCTGTCTCGGGGCTGGTGCATGAAGAGTTAATGCTCTCCCTTGCTCTCCCCCTATTCTTCTTCCTCCAGCCCACCTCCCAGAAGAACTAATTTCCAAAAGCAGCCGGGGCAGAGAGATGCAAATAAGTGTTTTGGACAGCTGCAGGCTGGATGCCTTCCCGAGATGCCAGGGCCCCAAATGAGACATGTCAGAGTACAAATTGAAAATGCCAATTTCACTTACGCTGCCACGTGGCTCGTCACAGCTAAATTCTGCTCCAGCGCTGCCACCGCCTTCCCCAGCACGTGCTCCTTTCTGCTGCCAGGGGATGGTCTCTGCTCACTGCTGCGGGTCTTGCTGGCTCCTCATCATGATTCTGTTGAGCATGGCCTCGGGTGGATGTCGGATAGGGGAAGGTGAACAGATATGGACTCCCAGTGCAGTTCTGGCTCCATCTTCCCAAATCTGGTGACAGCAGTGTTGTTGAGTGTTGTTGGTGAATGGTGCATGGTGGAGAAAAGGCTGAAGGTCTTCTGAGCAAACACTGTGAGAGATGCTGTGTCTGAGGCTGCATGGTGGGGTTTGGTGAGACTCTTCCTGTAGAGAGAAGCTGGTGGTGAACAAAGGATTGAGTTTGCATTTGAGTGTCCTTTGCCTTACAACTGCTGCAGACAGTTGATGAACAGCAGCCTTCCTCCCAAGGGAGGGCTGTGTTTTGGGGTCACCACCCTGTGCTGGATGGGATGACCCTTGGACCTAGGACTACTAGCCAAAAGCTGTGGAGGGGTGACTGAGGACTGAGCTTGGCCTCTCATTTGCACATATTAGGGTTGAGGGAGGGGTGTGCATTGCCATAGCCATGTCTCACATCAGGCCTCTGCCCCCTTTTGGTGCCATATCTGATGCTAGACTGCGACTGGCGACGCTCTCTGGTTGGGAGCAACTCAGCACAGAAAGGATCGGCTTTGGTGGTGAGGCGAGAAGGACCCGAGCATCTCTTGCTTCCCACAGCCACCTGGGCACATTGCCTTCCTTCATGGACCATGTCCCTGTCCTCTGTGGAGGGGATCAAGCAGAGCAGACGCACTGGAGTGGTTCCTGTGCTCTGTGGAAGAGCAGCTGGGGCAGAGCTGGAGGAGATGCTGAGGCCAGCTCCTCTAGGTCCGGCAGCAGGGCAGCGAAAGGTGACACTTAGGCTGACTGGAGGTGGCAGTGAGGCTCTGGCCAGGTGAGCCACTGCCGGCGCGTCTGCTGCTCCCTAACAAACTCCAGCAACCCATGAATCATTCATTTAATCTCTCCTGACATGCCTGTCATTTTCTCAGGCGAGGAGCAGGGAATCTCTTGCCGAAGGAGGTCATTAGCTGTCAGGGATGGTTCCGACTGCCTTCCTGCCTCCGTATCGATTAAACCTCTCCGCCTGCGTGCAGGGGCTGTGCAGGGAATATTGATTGGGCTGCTGGGACTGGGGCTAGAGTGTCAAAGCAGGGGAGAGGGGTTTAGATGGGGAGGAGGCACTGGCCAGGCTGGAAGGAACAACTGAGGTGGATATGTCTGGACAGCAGCGGGTGCTGGGGCCCGGGTTTGGGGTCCCCTGGAGCTGGGAGGTGGAATCCCTGGTGTCGCCTCCCTGCACGGGGGCTCGGGGGCGTCAGGGTGGTGGTGCTGATCCTGGAGTAGGGTACAGCTGGTGGCTGAGCATGGTGTGGGGCTGGGAGTGGAGCAGCTGGGGGTGTGGTGGTGCTGTGTGGAGGGGAGGGATGCTCTCTTAAGATCTTTCTGAGGGCTGGTGTGGCCCCACACTGGTGCCTGGCTCTGTCCCACCCGTGACCGCATGGTTACAGCTTTATGTCATTGCGTTATAGGTGATGGGGCTGGAGGGGACCATGTGGAACATCCTCCTCCTGGGTGTCAGGGGCACTCCACCATGTGCGCAGCCTGTTCTCCTCAAGCTTTACTAGTGACAAGCGTGATCGCAAATGTGTTCCCAGACATCTGACTGAATGTCCCTGGAATGGGGGGGACATGGGGGAGGGCTCGGGTGTCTGGTGGGGAGAGGTATGTGTGTGCTGCAGAGACACCATCTGTTTCCTTCTTCCCAGCAGCAACAGCTTCAGACCTTTAGATTAATAGGTTTGGGGTCTATTTAGAAACCCTCTATTTTGCTTATTTATCTTTTTTTGCTGGTCCAGCATACTGGTTTGCATGTGTTGTGTCTGATGCTTTGACCAGTGGCTTAGACCTGTCAGTTCCTGGCCAGTGAGTCCAAACCAGGCCCCCATCTCTCTCCTCTGGATTAATGGGGACATCCACGTAACAGAGTTGTGTGCCTCTCTGTGCCCCTCACTGGGGTGTTTCACCTCACGAATTAATGGGCTCTGCCTCCTTCTGTGCCCTCCTGCAGTATTTCTACGAAGGGAATGACATCAGTGACCTGCCAGTCAACTTGTCTGTGGTCTGGAATGGGAACTTTGTCATCGACAACCCCCAGAACATCCAGGGTGAGTGAGAGATGGGACCGGGGTGGGGAAGGAGCCCAGTGCCCCACTAGATCCCAGCCCACCCCTCTTCTATGCCCTGACCAGTACCATGGGGAAGGGAGCCATGCTCTGGCTGTATCTGGCAGGGTGGTTTCTAAACAAAAGGCTTTTCAAGAAGCTTTGAGAGAGAGCCCAGAGCTCTGCCTTGGTGTTGAGTCCAGGGTTCTGGTGCCTCCTGTGTCTTGTCCCCCCTGGGAGCTGGTGGCATGCATGCAGCAGGACGAGATGAGAGTGGGTGCCTTTCTCCCCCCAAACTCTGTGCCTGCAGGCTGTGGGGGGCTGTGCTGACCCCTGCACTCCTCCTGCCGTTGCAGCCCACCTCTACAAGTGCTCGGCCCTGCGGGAAAGCTGCGGTCTGTGCCTCAAGGCTGACCCGCGCTTCGAGTGCGGCTGGTGCGTGTCGGAGAGACGCTGCTCGCTGCGGCAGCACTGCCTGGCCTACGAGAGCAGCTGGATGCATGCCAGCAGTGGCAACAGCCGCTGCACCGACCCCAAGATCACCAAGGTACGTGGGGATGGGTGGACGGTGTTGCTTCATGATGGGAAACCGGGATGGGAGATGAAAGATGAGGATGGAGATGGGGCTCTCTGGTGGCACCTCACAGCAGCCAAATCTGCTCAGTGTTTAGGACTGAGCATCTCTTGTCACCATTTTCATTTCCGAGGCTAAAATCCTCTCTCTGGCACCCCTGTGCACTGGGATTTCTGGCCTGTGTACAAGATTCCCACCACTCCTACACATGACTGGAGGATCCCAGGAAAGCTGTCACTCCAAGTTGCTTCTCCTCATGTCACCATGCTCACTGGGCCCAGTAGTTCATCATCCCCCTTCCCTGACAGCTTTTATGACCTTCCTTTAATAAGATTGTCTATATTAATGTTCACATGCCTGTTGGGCCGGGCTCCCAAGTGTGTGAGGAGGGACTGGTGTGTTTTTCTGCTGGATACCTTCTTTTTCCCTGTGTCTGACTGGGCCTCACCAGTGTTAATTACTGGAGTCTTAGCACAGAACCTGATCTGTTTAGGTTTCAGTGTCTTATCTGATGGCAGCTGGAAATGAGAATTGTGCCTTTTCCCCACACTGCCTGCCTCTCGCAGGGCACTGGTGGCAGCCGTGCGAGGAGGGGGCGCTGCCCACCCACCAGGCATGTCCCTGCCTGCAAAGATCTGTGCCTGCCAGAATTACTGCCTGCAGAGTTGCCTGGGGCTGGCAGGGTGCTGGCAGGATAAGGGATCCATTCCTGGGGAAGTGGAGTCGAAGCCCAGAGCCAGCATCCCAACCAGGTGGTCCGCTGTTGTGTGCGCAGCTGCGGGGCTCCCTGTCCCCCATGACTTCCCACTGTGCTTAGGCTGAACTTCCCAAAGCTGAACTCCTGGGGATGGTGGGAGTGGAGACCACAGTGGCCAGGTCATGCCTGGGGTGCCCTTGTTGTAGATTGTCCCTGTCCTTCTGTGCGTGTGTGGCCAGGGCTGCAGGCATCCGCACACACACTGCTCGCAGCAGCTTCCCAG